TAAATAATACATTGCAATGTTTACGTTTATTCGTATGCAGTACCTTTCTTTGTTTAGATAAGCATGTACGCTACCTGTATCAAACCAAACAGTTGGATGGTTTACTTACTTTTTAAAAAACATGCGATCTTTTAAAATTAGTAAAACGCCACATAATGCTTTTATCTGTATAAACAGAAAACAAAACCATGTACTTTCCTTAAGTCCTTTGACTGACTTGTATCTATGTAAACTATGTTGATATCGAATAAAAGGGTGGCTTCCAAATAAGGGGCACAACTCTTGCTAGCTGACAGGATAGCCATGATGCTAATACAAATGCTTCTGATGATATCTGGACTAGAATTTGTTTCTCTTTTTGTGCCGATCTGAAAATGCGAGATGGTTGCCTTGCATTTGAAAGGATATAACCATGTATTCTGATTTGCTTTTTCAAATTATTCTCAAGAATGGCTGTAGCGATTGACTCCTAAAGAGGCGGCTACTGAGTGAACCCCCTGCAGAACTGGATATTTGCTTTTGTCTCCTCTTATTGGGGACACAAAGGCGACCTACATACATCTGCTACATCCATTGCAATCTTTGGCATATTTGAGTCGAGGATCGCACTGGGTTCTGTCCCCAGGCCAGGACAAACCAAGGCCTTTAAAATGGAGTTGCAGTTATCTGCTTAACTTTCACCATTAAGGGTAATGGTAACAACTGGTTCAGCCGTTGTCACTATATTATGATCGGGCGGAATGCTGTGCTAGGTGCCTTTGGCATGATATTTAATTGCAGTAGCACTTTTAAAGTCGTTATCAGATCCGCACTAACACAAGGAGGCAAACGAAACAACATATTCTGCCTCCGGCACACATACACGCATGCACGAATGCACATATACACTACACACATGGAGGCACATCCTGAAATTTCCTTAACTGTTGATAGTACGTTGAACCCTTTCAAACAAACAAACTAGTATTTCAAGAAACATTCCTTGTGCTGTTCCACCCAAGTGTTGATATTCACATAACACATGTTTCCATTTATCAGTCAATTCCAGTTTAGAAAAATGGGGGAGTGAGGGTGAAAATAGAAGTAATGATATTTATCAAAGGTACTAAGGCTTTTACGCCATACTGATTTAAATGTATTGTTTATTGAGAATATTGTATCCGATGTGCTGAACAATGACAGAAAATATTATTTAGCTTCGAAATAACTTAATAAAGCCACATTGTTTAGTTCAGACATATAGTATTGCCAAAATATACAGACAAAGACTGGACACTTGTTTCCAGAACAAAGCAATCGCCTTAATCATCTGATCAAACTTATATTCAATATAAATATATACATATATCAGGAATTGGCTAGATAATAGTATATAATTATAATTGAATGAAATAGTTACAGAGGTCGCGTGAGAGTCAAAAGCAATGATCATGTATATATGGAAAAATATAAATTTATATCATCCATCCATCCAACCATCCACTAACCCATCCACCAATCTATTCATCCAGCCATCCACTAATCCATCCACCAATCCATCCATCCACCCATCCACTAACCCATCCACCAATCTATCCATCCACCCATCCACTAACCCATCCACTAATCCATCCATCCACCCATCCACTAACCCTTCCACCAATCTATCCATGCATCTATCCACTAACCCATCCACCATTCTATCCATTCATCCATCCACTAACCCATCCAATAATCCATCCATTCATCCACTAATCCATTCATCCACCCATCCACTACTGTTACTCGAACAATCTACCGATCGAGTCACCGGTTAATCGGTCAATTTGGAAGTCAAATAATAAACAGCAACAAATTCATTATATGTTTGGAAAATGATCTATCTAAAACGTATTTACACCACAAACATATATGTACATATTAATTAGCATGATAGTTTAATTGTGTATTTCAAGGTTAACACAGTAAATAGTTTCATGTAACGTCCGTAAATATATTTTATGGACGACGGATGTCGGAATGCAGTAAGACGGGTTCAATTAAAATCATCTGTACTCGAAATAATATGCGGTAAATTTATTCTTTAGAACAAACTTTGCTTGACAAACGTTTAAAGACATTCTTGCTCATTCGAGTGTGTACTCTTCAGATTACCTTTACATCTCGCATTTAAAGGGGCATTCTATCTCAGAAAGTTATTATATCACAGCTTTGTATCCTGGCTTCCTTTTAAAATCTGTTCAGATTTTGTTGTTTTGTTGGCGACATCTCTTTTTTCAGTATTTAAATTAGAGTACAAAATTAAAACTAACATGCTATCCCTGAACACTGTATATATTAAAAACTATCCAATTTTGGTCACATCTACACAAATGAAAAGAGTTTGTAGGTCTAAGCGAGGGAAACATGGGGCTCCCAAAAGGGGTAAGTAAATGTCCGACTTTTCGGTTAAGGATTTTGGTAAACAGTTAGTGGTCTTTCAGCAAATGATATGATTTAGATATGTTCGGAAACTTAACATCGAATATCATTAGTGACTACATGTATTATATGTAACTGCAGTACACCTCTATAACTATGATACTTGTGTCCCTCTGTACAACCACGCATGCTTATACATCAAATCTGTGTATGTTACATATCTTTGTATACCATTGTAAGTCAAAGGTGTTGTGATAAAATAAAACAAGAGGCCCAGAGGGCCTGTATCGCTCACCTGGATAATAAAGCAACCATTGGAAATTATTCTTATTACAAACAATCCCTCGAATGGTACAGAAAAAGAAATATTTTGAAGAATTAAACCTCGAATTGCCCTATTGAGCCCCGCAACTCTGCACCCAAAGGGGCCACACCAATCAAAAATACAAAATTAAGACCCCTTTGCCCAAGAATACTCCAGTCCAAATTCGGATAAAATCCCCCAAATGGTACATAAAAAGAAGGATTTAAAAGATTTAAACCTCAATTCCCTCAGGATGTTCCGGACCAAATTAGGATAAAAATTCCTTATCCCTAAGGTAGAAGCAGGGTTTTAAAGGTTTATCTCTATTTGCCCTATTGGGCCCCGCCCCTCTCCATTCAGGGGAACCAGACCCTTGATCCAAGGATGCTCCAGACCAAATTGGGACAAAATCCCTAAATCCCTGTGGTAGAAGAAGGATTTTAAAGGTTTTATCTCTATTTCCCCTATGGGGCCCCACCCCTCTGCCCCTAAGGGGGTCACACCCAACATTCATACAAAATTGATTGCCCTTGACCCAAGGATGCTCCAGACCTTATTGAGATGAAATCCCCAACGGTAGAAGAAGGATTTCAAAGGTTTTACCTCTATTTCCCCTATTTGGTCCCGTAAATCTGCTCCCAGCGGGGGACTACACACAACGTTTATACAAAATTGAGTGCCCTTGGCCCAAGGATGCTCTAGACTAAATAAGGAAACAATCCTTTTATCCTGACGGTAAAAGAAGGATTTCAAAGGTTTAACCTATATTGCCCCTATCACTAGAATACGAATTCAAGACGAGTTTCATAAAACCTATATGATTTAAAGAGAAAATATATAAATAAATACTAATTAAACATCCTTGATATTGGACAGGGAAGTAATTGCAACCATGTAGACCCTATAAGGTTGTCGAATTTTCCGAAAGATCTGCACCTTTATCAAGCAACGTACGTAGACCAAGACTAAGGAATGCATACATTATATTAGAACATATTTTGAATTTTGATAAAATGAAATAACTTAATATCTAAAATCATCTACCCTTTTTGCTAGTATACACTGAATAGATAATTCGGCAGTTGTAGAAGTGACAATAACGTGTTTGTAGGTTGGAAACGCATGCAGTTGGGTGCATTAGATCCTTGCCCGATCGGGAATGAATTCAGAAAACGTAAGACAAATTGGTAATGTACAATGAAAGAAAAGGAATGGTATCAGCGCCATATAAACACTGGAGATATGAACGAACGACAAGTGAATGCCCCTTCCTTGCGGCTAATCAATACAGTTGCTCACACTTTTTATCTGTCGACTCATCCATTTGCCGTTGCACATATCCCTGCATGTGACACTCGCTTTCATAATCAGTGGTTGAATGTCCCTCTTCCTGTATATGGCATGTATACACCACTCCTTTATTAACTTTTTTCCAAAACACTGTTACTTCCTTGTCAGTAATTCATATCCTTCAAGTTTACTTTTTTGAGGATTCTGTGTGATGCGTTATTTTGTCTTTGATATTACTCTCATTTTTAACGGTTTACATGGTTATTCCTTTCAATTATCACATCATATATGCATCTGCAATGACGTCACTTTAAAAATATGAAAAATTCAATTAACATCCTATATTTACATTCGCTCCCATTGAAGCTGTGTAAACCGTGACTGCTTTTACATTACCGTATACGCAGTGAGATTCCTTGGATACCATGGTTTCCTATTGATGACGTAATTTGCATTGTGACGTCATAATGGTAACGTTGGAGATCCATCGCTGCTCGCAGGCTGTAGGCTGTTCATTTGTTTGGATTTACGCAAGTTACGGAGGCTTTGTACCATTGTAAAAGCAAATGTATTGGAGTTAGCTTTATTCTGAGTGTACCATCATAGTACGAAAATATGTAAATATAAGAATTGATCTTCAGTTTGACTGCGTATACGGTAGTATGAACGCAGTTGGCAACGAACATATTTTATGGGGCGCGTAAGTAATTCATATCCTTCAAGTTTACGTTTTTGAGGATTCTATGTAATGCGTTATTTTGTCTTTGATATTACTCTTATTTTTAACGGTTTACCTGTGTATTCCTTTCAATTATAACATCATATATGCATCTGAAATGACGTCACTTTAAAAAGTACGGTAATTGACCTTCATTTTGACTGCGTATACGGTAGTATAAGCGCTCCATAAATAATATGTTCGTTGCCAACTGCGTTCATACTACCGTATACGCAGTCAAAATGAAGGTCAATCCTTAAATATATTTGTTTTTTCTTTGTTTTGCAGAAAACAATATGGCTTGGTCCAGCACTGAAAGTGTGTGTTCCAGTAAGACTGTGTACATCCAGCTGAGCGTTCTGCTTTTGCTGAGTACCTCAATATATATGTTCCTGTATTCAAGAATCGAAGTGAAGGCGTTTACTATAGAAAAAATCAGCGATATCCAAAAATCGTTGTATAGAAAAGAAGGCAAGGTACAGATTGGTCAGGGAATACGCTCTCATCCTGATACTGAACAGGGCTACAATAGATCAGAATTGCTTTTGACATTGTTCACTTCCTGGACTACAAAAGCGGAGAAGTATATATGCCATAACAATACAATTCGAAATTGGTTAGAATTTAAACCGGTAATACAGCCGATCCTTTTCACCAACGAGACCTTGCTAAAAGAGGAAGCTGTCGAAAAAGGTTGGGATGTACTCCCAATTCGGATGTCAGGAAGAGGGGTACCTATTCTTAAGTATATGTATAGAGATGTAATGGAGAAGTATGTCTCTCCTTTCTATGCGTATTCCAATGGAGACATACTATACTCTCATACTCTGATAGACACGTTAAAGGCTGTGATGAACTCCTCTTACTTACTAAATGACAAACCTATTATGATCGTTGGTAGGAGAACAAATGTACAGAATGTGACGTCAGAGGAAGCCATTTCGGGAAAAATTGTAAACAAAACTGCAAATATTCGAGGGAAACTATTTACCGTGTGGGGAGAGGACTATTTCATAACATCGGCTAATTACCCATGGATGAGTATACCGGAAGTTATTATTGGCCGGAGGGCTTATGATAACTGGTTGGTTTTGAACGCGCGGAAACGAAACCATGTTACCATAGACGCTACCATTACGCTGTTGGGCCTCCATCAAACAACAAAGGCGGGCAACAGTGAAGGGTTCAAGGCCGACAACCCTGGGTACAACCACAACCTTCTAAGTCGCATGTACCACCGACTTAACTACGACGTAGGATGTACGTCCTGTATAGAGTTCTACACACGTTACCATGACAATCTGATAGAAATTCTAAAACGAAATATTTCAAAATCGTGTTTCCCCCTGTGATAATTATTTTCATGTTAATGTATATGCTGAAATGTTAAGTTCGATATTAGTTAGTAATTTGAATTTTCTCCTGACATTATTGAAGGATAAACTCTTCTGGAGTTATAAGTACAATCTCGGTTTGAAATACTTTTTAGGGTTCTTATAAAAATAACAAATTATGATAATTTAAAATAACACGCAAAACATGAAAAACGTATCAAACATTGACGCTTAATGTTTTAGAACTGTTTTTTACAAGTAAAAGGTCTCCGACTACTAAAACATTTACGATATGTTATTACTTAGCTTTTGAGCTAATAGCGTTATGATTTGAAGTTCAACTCTAGTGACAACTGTCTAGATTCATCGATATATAAGAATGTACCTGACAAAGGCTTCAAAGGCATTTTTTACATGTTTAATAGCACATTAAAGCACTGCAGATGGGAACACCCCTTGATAATTGTCCCCACATAATCCACCATTATATATCAAAATCGACTAAAACTATAAAAAAAATCAAAGTTAAATATCTAGATTGTATTCAATAGAAAAACCTGGCAACATTTATACATTTAAATTACTCAGAGACACTGAATTTAACTGCAACAAATGTTAAGTAGGGATTACAATCATATGAAACACTTGATGATCGGCTGATTCAGGTGGCTCCACCCTTTCGCAATTAGCCAGCAGAACTCAATGATAGTTTCACATAATGGTTATGTCAATACGAAGAGATGATTTTATGAAAAGCTAATCATTCCGAGAAACTGGGGATTTTTTTTGTAAAAAATACCGAAAAAAATGATTTTTTGTCAAATTCAACACTTTCACATTTTTTGAGTGTGTGGCATTGTTCAAAACTATTACAACAATAAACATTGCTAATCAACCCTACAAATATTTTATTTATCATAAAATATCTACAACATGTTACAAAACGCGTTTTTTATTGAATTTGTATGGATAAAAGTTACTGAATACAAGCTGAAAGCAAACAGAACACATAGTTTCTTACAAAAAGAGTGAAAAATTGAACCAAATACACACAAAGTCTTTATAATTCATTTATTTTACATTTTACAATTCTTTTTGATCCTGATGAGAGTTGTCTACCCTGAATTAAAATTATCATTTAAATTGTCAGTTTATCAAAACTTTACACTGCAAGTTGATTTTGGCAATTCAACTTTCAATTGTTAAATATTATGAAAATGTCATGCAACAGAGTGGAACGCTATACAATATAGGTATTTTATTACATATTTAGTTTTGGTGAAGCTTTATTGATGTTTTTATGTATTTCTCATTATTATCTATCATCCTTTTGTGACTGATGTTGATGTTAGGGGCAGATGCAGGAATTTGTTTAGGGTGATGCCCAAAGATAAAAGAATAAAACCTAATTTAACCACATTTTTTTGCGCTTAGAAATTGGCATAAAGTCTCTATCCTATTTATAGAGATTAGTATACATTATTTATGTCGCTGATTATAGGGGTCCCAGGGTTAATCCGGCCGGGGCATGTTAGGCCCATGCAACATATAAAATGTCAAGAATTTGGAGGGGAAACCTGACGACATAATTATGCTGATTCCAACGTGAGACGAACTTGCCCCAAGGCAAGTCATTCACTATTCAGACAGAAAAAGTTGAATAGTTCTTTAAATGTGGACGTGTTATCCCTTTTGCTATTATTTTATGAAGGGCGTGGGATGTCTTTTTGTACATATCATCTATTAATTTTTACAGAATGATAGTGAGAGGGATAAGGAAGGTTGAGTGATTGGGAATGAGAGATTTGTTTTTGTAAAATATTTGAAACTTCATTATTGACAAATAACATTATTGAACTTGAGTTCACTCTTGGGTCTTTGCTGAATAGGATAATTATCATCAGGATAATGTGTTACCTTAGAGAGTATAACAATTTATGTAACTCTATCCCTGGCCTAAAGTCATAGCAATGGTCTAAGTGCAGACAACTCAAAAGGATTTAGTCCTGTTTACCAGTATCCAACTAGTCAATTGGAACTGAAAAATTCAATAGAAGTCAGTTTGTATTGACAACCTTCACTGATGTTGGAACCAGTACCTGGAAATGAAAGCAGTTTATGAAGAAGAGATGGACGACAATTTTACTCTATTTGACATTACTTGGGATTATCAAGGATGACATGTCTTTAGTCCTTTATAGACTTAGTATCTAGCAGCCAGCCACGCTACAATATTTGTTACAATATATACCCAATTGGAAATAAGCCACTTTGTGGCTTTTATGGATAATCCTAGGTAAATGGCACTCACCACTCCAATTATGCGACCTATTTATATCTACCTTCATATACTTAAAATAGTCTGTTTCATTTTATAGTAATATCAGCCCTTTTTTACAGTTTATCAGACAGTTTTTAGATTTGCATACTCTGTGATACATTGCATATGTCAAGGAATGAATTAAGAAACCTTTTATTATGATAGATATATTATTATTCTCAGTCTTAATACAAAATATTATATTTTATTTACAAGCTGCATTGTATCTTAATTATATGTTTTATTGTAAATTGTGATATCTTGTAACAACATGCCTATTTTACCTGAATAAATATTATTATTATTATATATACATAGGTGATACCTAAATTATCAGATAATATTAGCCTAATTGTAATAACTGAATACTGTGGGTTTTTTAATAATCGATTCATTCAACTTACTTAAATTTAGATAGGCTTTTGGCAACAACCATATATTTCATATTTTATCCAACATTCCACTTTAAAAACAATCAATACAATGGCCATCACTATATTTGTATTGATATTCATTATACTGAATGCACTGGTGACTTATCAGCCCCAAATCTTCCCATTAAAATGTACACTTCTCCATGAAAACAAAATTTAAAACATAGTTTAATTTCAATTTTCATTGTGTAGCCATATTTATCGAAATAAATGATGTCGTCTCACGTAGCATACATTTAGTATTTTCCTTTATACAGGTAAGGTGTTGGGTGTATGCTTGGTGATATTTGGTATCAGTTAGAGAACAATTGGATTTAATTACAGGTAAACTATAGTCTGTACTATAAAGTGTCTTAACATATGAATGTGAACGTATACATAGGATTGATTTCACATTGTTGAATTTTATTTATTTATCATATTGTTTCTATTTCGTATATATTAAAGTGTTAGCCATAATAATAGGGAATTTCAGATTAATTAAATGTCCTAACTTTACATATTATTTCTCTATCCATATTCCTCTGGTCAAGGTTGTAACATCATAAAAGACTTTGGAATAAGTTTATCATGAAAGCTAGTTCGCAATGTATGTTTCAAAAATAATTTGCCTACATTACATGTCTCTTGATATATCCATATAAGTTCTGCCGAGTAACTAGTATTTTCTTAACATAATGTAACCATTTAGGGTGACAACGAATTGTCATTTTCATGATAATCTTGTACACATTGCTCGATAATTAAAGCAATATAACGTTAAACACACATTCAAAGTTGATTTCATTTACTATTCTGTCTTTACCACATGCCCATAGTATTATTAACATATATATATCTAATTGAAATTTCGTTTTAGAAACAGTTCTGAATATTTTTTATATTTATTTTTGCTGTTAAAATATTTTTTTTTACTTTCAAATTGTAACAGTGCAGTATAATATGAAATGCGTTCTTTCATTTTTCTATTAAAGTGTGTATTTTTCATATTTGTGTTTTGATTCTCACAAAAAAAGTATTAGACAGTCTTGTTTAATAATGGAATCCTAGGTGTCCATTATACAATGTAATATATCTAGGATCTTACATGAGTTTCCATTTCATATAAGATTTATGAAAAAGTCTAATAATTTTGCGAGCTAAAATGAAAAATTCGTTCCAGTTATAATAAAGCGTAACTATAATGTAACCACAACGCAATCGGCGCGTCTAATTACCCAATACTATCCAATACCATCCAATACTACCCAATACTACCCCATACGACCCAGTTATGAACCAAATTCTTCTTTATTACTGTGAAATATCACCTTTGTAGACGTTATTTACTTCCATCTGCCATATTTTATCGGGAAATATGCGATTTGGTGCCGAAAACATCACCGAAATGCCGTGACTGTGACCCAATACTACCCCATACCACCCAATACTACCCCATACGATCCAGATATGAACCCAATACTTCTTTATTACTGTGAAATTTCGCATTTCTTGAAGTTATTTACTTCTATATGTCACATCCTATCTGGACATATGCGATTTGGTGCAGAAAACATCACCGAAATGCCGTGACTAGGGGTTCGACGATTTACAGGAACGGGCAG